ACTAGACCCTGAGTCTCTACTACACCCCGAGTCTTTACTACACCCTGAGACTCTACTACACCCTGAGTCTCTACACCCTGAGTCTCTACTAGACCCCGAGTCTCTACGAGACCCTGAGTCTCTACTACACCTGGAGTCACTACTAGACCCTGAGTCTCTACTACACCCTGAGTCTCTATTACACCCCGAGTCTCTACTACACCCTGAGTTTCTACTACACCCCGAGTCTCTACTACACCCCGAGTCTCTACTACACCCTGAGTCTCTACTACACCCCGAGTCTCTGCTACACCCTGAGTCTCTACTACACCCCGAGTTTCTACTACACCCTGAGTCTCTACTACACCCTGAGTCTCTACTACACCCCGAGTCTCTGCTACACCCCGAGTCTCTACTACACCCCGAGTCTCTACTACACCCTGAGTCTCTACTAGACCCTGAGTCTCTACTACACCCTGAGTCTCTGCTACACCCTGAGTCTCTGCTACACCCCGAGTCTCTGCTACACCCCGAGTCTCTACTACACCCTGAGTCTCTACTACACCCCGAGTCTCTACCAGACAGGAATCTCCAGACGCAGTTAACAAAAGGGATCAGTGTCTCTGGTATTCAGTAACGTCGTGGTTTTATTATTCAGACGGCGGCATCATCACTGAAGTTTACAGTGGCACGCGAAAATAAACAGCGACAAAACTACGCACGGCACCTCACTTAGATCCCTCCTGGCCAGGGAGACCCCTAGTCTCTAGTCCCCGAGTCTAGAGACTCAAGGAGACCGGGTCTCAGGGTCTAGAGACTCAGAGAGACGAGGTCTCAGGGTCTAGAGAGTCAGGGAGACCGTGTCTCAGGGTCTAGAGACTCGGAGACCAGGTCTCAGGGTCTAGAGACTAAGGGAGACCGTGTCTCAAGGTCTAGAGACTCTAAACCCCGAGTCTCTAGACCCCGAGTCTCTAGACCTTGATTCTCAAGACCCCGAGTCTCTACACCCCGAGTCTCAAGACCCCGAGTCTCTAGACCCCGAGTCTCTAGACCCCTAGTCTCTAAACCACGAGTCTAGAGACTCAAGGAGACCGGGTCTCAGGGTCTAGAGACTCAGAGAGACCAGGTCTCAGGGTCTAGAGACTCAGGGAGACCGTGTCTCAAGGTCTAGAGACTCTAAACCCCGAGTCTCTAGACCTTGAGTCTCTAGACCTTGAGTCTCTACACCCCGAGTCTCTACACCCCGAGTCTCTAGACCCCGAGTCTCTAGACCCCGAGTCTCTAGACCCCGGAGTCTCTAGACCCCGAGTCTCTAGACCCCGAGTATCTAGACCCCGAGTATCTAGACCCCGAGTCTCTAGCCCCCGAGTCTCTACACCCCGAGTCTCTACTACACCCTGAGTCTCTGCTACACCCCGAGTCTCTGCTACACCCTGAGTCTCTGCTACACCCTGAGTCTCTAGACCGAGTCTCTAGACCCCGAGTCTCAAGACCGAGTCTCAAGACCCCGAGTCTCTACACCCCGAGTCTCTAGACCCCGAGTCTCTAGACCCCGAGTCTCTAGACCCCGAGTCTCTAGAGACCCCGAGTCTCTAGACCCCGAGTCTCAAGACCCCGAGTCTCTAGACCCCGAATCTCCAGACCCCGAGTCTCCAGACCCCGAGTCTCTACACCCCGAGTCTCTACACCCTGAGTCTCTAGACCCCGAGTCTCCAGAACCCGAGTCTCTACACCCTGAGTCTAGAGACTCAGGGAGACCGGGTCTCAGGGTTTAGAGACTCAGGGAGACCGGGTCACAGGGTCTAGAGACTCAGACACCGTGTCTCAGGATCTAAAGACTCAGGGAGACCGGGTCTCAGGGTCCAGAAACTAGGAGAGCGTGTCTCAGGGTTTAAAGACTCAGGGAGACTGTGTCTCAGGGTCTAGAGACTCAAGGAGACCGGGTCTCAGGGTTTAGAGACTCAGGGAGACCGGGTCTCAGGGTCTAGAGACTCGGGGTCTAGAGACTCGGAGACCGGGTCTCAGGGTCTAGAGACTCGGGTATTAAGAGGCTTGGGGTGTAGAGACTCGGGGTGTAGAGACTCGGGGTTTAGAGTCTCTCGACCCTGAGACCCGGTCTCCCTGAGTCTCTAGACTCTGAGACTCGGTCTCCCTGAGTCTCTAGACCCAAGAGACCCAGTCTCCACAAGTCTCCGGTGAACAAAGGGATCAGTGTTTCTCGCGAGTCAGGGATCGAACCCACGACCTCCTGTAGACCAGGCAAGGTGGTCAACATCTACCACGACCTCCTGTAGACCAGGCTTGGTGGTCAACGTCTACCACGACCTCCTGTATACCAGGCGAGGTGGTCAACATCTACCACGACCTCCTGCAGACCAGGCGAGGTGGTCAACGTCTAACACGACCTCCTGTAGACCAGGCGAGGTGGTCAACATCTACCACGACCTCCTGTAGACCAGGCGAGGTGGTCAACATCTACCACGACCTCCTGTAGACCAGGCGAGGTGGTCAACGTCTACCACGACCTCCTGTAGACCAGGCGAGGTGGTCAACATCTACCACAACCTCCTGTAGACCAGGCGAGGTGGTCAACGTCTACCACGACCTCCTGTAGACCAGGAGAGGTGGTCAACGTCTACCACGACCTCCTGTAGACCTAGCGAGGTGGTCAACATCTACCACGACCTCCTGTAGACCAGGCGAGGTGGTCACATGACCTTGGCCAGCCAGGTCTACCGACGGCGAGAATCAACGTAGCTGTGACACAACAAACACAACAACACTACCGGCGCACAACCACACAGCCACCGGTAATTGTGTGTGGGAAGATACGAATCAACGGCATTGGACAACGCCGTGTGTGTGTGTAGTGTGTGTGTGGTGTGTGTGTGTACTGTGTGTGTGTGTACTGTGTGTGTGTAGTGTGTGTGTGGTGTGTACTGTGTGTGTGTACTGTGTGTGTGTACTGTGTGTGTGTGTACTGTGTGTGTGTAGTGTGTGTGTGGTGTGTACTGTGTGTGTGTGTACTGTGTGTGTGTACTGTGTGTGTGTGTACTGTGTGTGTAGTGTGTGTGTGGTGTGTACTGTGTGTGTGTGTACTGTGTGTGTGTACTGTGTGTGTGTACTGTGTGTGTGTGTACTGTGTGTGTAGTGTGTGTGTGGTGTGTACTGTGTGTGTGTGTACTGTGTGTGTGTACTGTGTGTGTGTAGTGTGTGTGTGTACTCTGTATGTGTGTGTACTGTGTGTGGGTACTGTGTGTGTGTACTCTGTATGTGTGTGTACTGTGTGTGTGTGTACTGTGTGTGTAGTGTGTGTGTGTACTGTGTGTGTGTGTAGTGTGTGTACTGTGTGTGTGTACTGTGTGTGTGTATTGTGTGTGTGTACTGAGTGTACTGTGTGTATAATGAGTGTACTGAGTGTGTGTACTGTGCGTGTACTATGTGTGAGTGTACTGAGTGTACTGAGTGTGTCTGTGTATACTGAGTGTACTAAGTGTGTGTACTGAGTGTGTGTACTGAGTGTGTGTACTGTGTGTGTACTGAGTGTGTGTGTACTGTGTGTGTATTGTGTGTGTACTGAGTGTACTGTGTGTATAATGAGTGTACTGAGTGTGTGTACTGTGTGTGTACTATGTGTGAGTGTACTGAGTGTGTGTACTGTGTGTGTACTGAGTGCGTGTACTGTGTGAGTGTACTGAGTGTGTGTACTATGTGAGAGTGTACTGAGTGTGTGTACTATGTGAGAGTGTACTGAGTGTGTGTACTGTGTGTGTACTGTGTGTGTGTGTACTATGTGAGAGTGTACTGTGTGAGTGTACTGAGTGTGTGTACTGTGTGAGTGTACTGAGTGTGTGTACTGAGTGTGTGTAGTGTGTGTGTACTGTGTGAGTGTACTGAGTGTGTGTACTGTGTGAGTGTACTGAGTGTGTGTACTGTGAGTGTACTGAGTGTGTGTACTGTGTGAGTGTACTGTGTGTGTACTGTGTGTGTACTGAGTGTGTGTACTGTGTGAGTGTACTGTGTGAGTGTACTGTGTGTGTACTGAGTGTGTGTACTGTGTGAGTGTACTGAGTGTGTGTACTGAGAGTGTACTGTGTGTGTGTACTATGTGAGAGTGTACTGTGTGTGTGTGTACTGTGTGTGTACTGAGAGTGTACTGTGTGTATAATGAGTGTACTGATTGTGTGTACTGAGAGTATACTGAGTGTGTACTGAGTGTGTGTACTGAGTGTGTGTACTGTGTGTGTACTGTGTGAGTGTACTGTGTGTGTACTGAGTGTGTGTACTGTGTGAGTGTACTGTGAGTGTACTGTGTGTGTACTGTGTGTGAGTGTACTGTGTGTGTACTGTGTGTGTGTAGTGTGTGAGTGTACTGAGTGTGTGTACTGTGAGTGTACTGAGTGTGTGTACTGTGTGAGTGTACTGTGTGTGTACTGTGTGTGTACTGTGTGTGTACTGAGTGTGTGTACTGTGTGTGTACTGTGTGAGTGTACTGTGTGAGTGTACTGTGTGTGTACTGAGTGTGTGTACTGTGTGAGTGTACTGTGTGTGTACTGTGTGTGTGTATACTATGTGTGTGTGTACTGTGTGTGTGTAGTGTGTGAGTGTACTGAGTGTGCGTACTATGTGAGAGTGTACTGAGTGTGTGTACTGAGTGTGTACTGAGTGTGTGTACTGTGTGTGTACTGAGTGTGTGTACTGTGTGTGTGTACTATGTGAGTGTACTGAGTGTGTGTACTGAGTGTGTACTGAGTGTGTACTGAGTGTGCGTACTATGTGAGAGTGTACTGAGTGTGTGTACTGAGTGTGTACTGAGTGTGTGTACTGTGTGTGTACTGAGTGTGTGTACTATGTGAGTGTACTGAGTGTGTGTACTGAGTGTGTACTGAGTGTGCGTACTATGTGAGAGTGTACTGAGTGTGTGTACTGAGTGTGTACTGAGTGTGTGTACTGTGTGTGTACTGAGTGTGTGTACTGTGTGTGTGTACTATGTGAGTGTACTGAGTGTGTGTACTGAGTGTGTACTGAGTGTGCGCTGTGAGTCTCAGTCCCAGGACTCTTCCTCACCACCACCACCAGCAGCAGCAGCAGCAGCAGCTGGTGGTGGTGGTGGTGAGTTCATGGCGTGGAGAGAGGAAGGACGCATCCAACCAGAGCCCTGTACACACACAGTACACACAGTTACACACACACACAGTTACACACACACACAGTACACACAGTTACACACACACAGACACACACAGTACACAGTTACACACAGTTACACACAGTTACACACACAGTTACACACATACAGTACACACAGTTACACACACACACAGTACACACACACAGTTACACACACACAGTTACACACACACAGTACACACACACAGTACACACAGTTACACACACACAGTACACAGTTACACACAGTTACACACACAGTTACACACACACAGTACACACAGTTACACACACACACAGTACACACAGTTACACACACACAGTACACACAGTTACACACACAGTTACACACACACAGTACACACAGTTACACACACACACAGTACACACAGTGACACAGTCACACACACACAGTACACACACAGTTACACACAGATAGACACACACAGTACACACAGACACACACAGTACACACAGTTACACACACACAGTTACACACAGTACACAGTTACACACACACAGTACACACACACAGTACACACAGTTACACACAGATAGACACAGATAGACACACACAGTACACACACACACAGTACACACACAGTTACACACACACAGTACACACAGTTACACACACACAGTACACACAGTTACACACACACAGTACACAGTTACACACACAGTACACACAGTTACACACACAGTACACACAGTTACACACACACAGTACACACAGTTACACACAGTTACACACACACAGACACACACAAAGTTACACACACAGTAACACACACACACAGTTACACAGTGACACACAGTGACACACACAGTTACACACACACAGTTACATACACACAGTTACACACACACAGTACACACAGTTACACACACACACAGTACACACACAGTTACACAACAACAACCGCCATTCGCCACTAAGTGGCGGTGACGTCACCACGACGCTTGTGCCAGGCTATGTGCACCCTGAGGCCACGTGAAGTGTCGAACGCTCGCTGGCAGGAGGTCACGGGGCAGACCCAGGTGCCACGGGTCGACTGACTGAGATGACTGGCTGATGCACCACCTGTGCCCCCTACTGTGCCAACCTGCTGTGCTTTAGCCACCCGGCGCTCCGCTCGTTGTTGTGAGCGTCGCTCCTCCGCCCTCCGTTGTTGTTGGAGGGCGACTGCCTCCAACTGCCCAGTAGCATCCTTCACGAGCCTCCTCCACAGAGGCCGATCTTGACACCGCTGGTACCAGTCATCGGCAAGTCCACTCAGCTCCACGTCCTCCTGTACCACATCACTCCATCTCTTCTCTAGCCCATGCCGCACCCGCTTAGCCCCCTCAATCCGGCCAAACAAAAGCTGTTTCGGCATGCGGTGGCTGGGCATGCGGGCTACATGACCCAGCCATCGCAGCCTTGCCCTGCCGGAGGAGCTCACCGATGGGACCCTTGCCCAGATCTTTCAAGGATTTGTGAGCTCCTCACACAATCCAGTCTGGTTAAACCCAAGGATGGATCGTAGGCAGGCCAGCCTAAATGTTTCTAACCGGCGAAGATGTTGCCATTAGGGGGGTCCACGTTTCAGCAAGCGTAGAGAAGGGAGGGAATGACCGTGGCCGAGAAGACCTGAAGCTTAGTGCGGAGCGACAGACCAGGTAGCTTCCACACAGCGTTACGCAACCGATGAAAAGATATTGCCGCTCGACTGATTCGGAGTGAGACCTCTGCTGTTAAACTGGAGCCGGTCATAAGCACACTGCCCAGGTATGGGAAACTCTCCACTCTCTCCACAACTGCCCCATCACCGATTGGGAGTTGCGGGGGTGGAGTGTCCGATGGTACAAAATACCCAGGCAGGTGCTTAGTTTTGGTGGGGCTGATGGTAAGGCCCCATCTCTTAGTGGCATGCTCCAGTCTCAGCAGCAGTGTCTCCAACTCCTCCTCTGAATGAGCAGCTATTACCAAATCATCAGCATACATAACGTGGTTGAGCAATAGGGAGCCATCCCTTGACCGCACCCGGGCATCGATCAGCCTCCCATTATATCTGTACCAAATGGAGATTCCCCCGGTACAGCTATTGAAGGCTTCACGAACTACGTGGTCAAAATAGATGTTAAATAATGTGGGAGTCAGAGGACATCCCTGTCACACCCCAAGGCTAACAGGAAATGGCTCTGACTCCCGGCCACGTAGTTTTACCCGGGCCCGCTCACCATCATGAAGGTCCTTAATGATCGTGAGCAGAGGGTCAGGTACTCCAAAAGCACGAAGAACAACCCAGAGCCCATGCCTACTGATGGTATCATAGGCCTTGACCAGGTCAATAAAGCAGAGATGTAGGTCTTGTTGGAATTCCCTACACCTATGCTGTAGCAGACAGACAGAAAATATGGCATCTGTGCAGGACCGCCCTTCCCTGAAACCGCATTGGGGCTCCGCAAGTCTCTCCTCAGCGTGCCTGGCAAGGCGATGCTGAATAATCCTTGCCAGGACCTTTCCCGGCCTCACACTGAGGAGTGAGATGCCCCTGTAGTTGTTACAGTCTGTGCGGTCCCCCTTCTTAAAGAGGGGGACCACCAGGGCATCCTTCCAATCCTGCGGAACCCGTCCAGTGGTCCAGACCGTTGTTATGATGTCATGTAGGGCAGTCTGTGCACAAACGCCACCCTCCCTCTATGTGTGTGTGTCTGTGTAACTGTGTGTGTGTTTCTGTGTGTGTTTCTGTGTGTGTGTCTGTGTGTGTCACTGTCTGTGTGTCTGTGTATGTGTATCTGTGTGTAACTGTGTGTTTCTGCGTGTGTTTCTGTGTCTCTGTGTGTCTATGTGTCACTGTGTGTGTCTGTGTATGTGTCTATCTATGTGTAACTGTGTGTGTGTTTCTGTGTGTGTGTCTGTGTATCTGTGTGTATGTGTCTGTGTGTCTGTGTCTATATGTAACTGTGTGTTTCTGTGTGTATGTCTGTGTGTCTCTGTATGTCTGTGTGTGTCTGTGTGTCTGTGTATGTGTCTACCTATGTGTAACTGTGTGTGTGTTTCTGTGTGTGTGTGTGTATCTGTGTGTATGTGTCTGTGTGTGTGTGTATGTGTCTATCTATGTGTAACTGTGTGTGTGTTTCTGTGTGTGTGTCTGTGTAAATCTACGTGTAACTGTGTGTGTCTAACTATGTGTGTGTATCTGTGTGTGTGTATCTGTGTGTATGTGTCTGTGTATGTGTCTATCTATGTGTAACTGTGTGTTTCTGTGTGTGTGCCTGTGTCTCTGTATGTGTGTCTGTGTATGTGTCTACCTAGGTGTAACTGTGTGTGTGTCTGTGTGTCTCTGTGTGTTTGTGTAAATCTACGTGTAACTGTGTGTCTAACTATGTGTGTGTGTATCTGTGTGTGTGTCTGTGTCTATGTATCCATGTGTGTGTCACTGTGTGTGTGTGCGTGTCTGTGTGTCACTGTGTGTTTGTCACTGTGTGTGTAACTGTGTGTGTGTAACTGTGTGTTTGTCACTGTGTGTGTCACTGTGTGTGTCTCTGTGTGTGTCTGTGTGTGTCACTGTGTGTGTCACTGTGTGTGTCACACTGTGTGTGTCACACTGTGTGTCACTGTGTGTGTCACTGTGTGTGTCACTGTGTGTGTGTGGGGAGCGGTAGTGTAGCGGTTAGCGCGCTGCGCTATGAACCTGGCGACCCGGGTTCGATTCCCGCTCACGGCCAACACCAGTGACGATTATCTGAACCGGTCCCGGGCCTCCCCTAGGTCGACTCAGCCTCAAATGAGTACCTGGTGCGGTGTGTAAATATCGCCACTAGGGAGACAAAGGCGGTCGGGCGTGGTGCTGGCCACCCACCCCCTCGTGTACCGTTCCGGCCTTCATAGGTGCTCGCTAACAGCACTTGCCCCTACAGTCTGTTAAGGCTATATGGGGGATCTTTGTCTTTGTCTTTGTGTCACACTGTGTGTCACTGTTACTGTGTGTGTCACTGTGTGTGTCACTGTGTGTGTCACTGTGTGTCACACTGTGTGTGTGTGTCACTGTGTGTGTCACTGTGTGTGTCACTGTGTGTGTAACTGTGTGTGTGTGTAACTGTGTGTGTGTGTCACTGTGTGTGTCATTGTGTGTGTCACTGTGTGTGTGTGTCACTGTGTGTGTGTCACTGTGTGTATCACTGTGTGTGTATCACTGTGTGTGTATCACTGTGTGTGTGTCACTGTGTGTGTCACTGTGTGTGTGTCACTGTGTGTGTCACTGTGTGTGTCACTGTGTGTGTGTCACTGTGTGTGTGTCACTGTGTGTGTCACTGTGTGTGTGTGTCACTGTGTGTGTCACTGTGTGTACACTGTGTGTGTGTACACTGTGTGTGTGTACACTGTGTGTGTCACTGTGTGTGTCACTGTGTGTGTGTCACTGTGTGTGTCACTGTGTGTGTCACTGTGTGTGTGTCACTGTGTGTGTCACTGTGTGTGTCACTGTGTCACTGTGTGTGTCACTGTGTGTGTGTCACTGTGTGTGTGTCACTGTGTGTGTCACTGTGTGTGTGTGTCACTGTGTGTGTCACTGTGTGTACACTGTGTGTGTGTACACTGTGTGTGTGTACACTGTGTGTGTGTACACTGTGTGTGTGTACACTGTGTGTCACTGTGTGTGTCACTGTGTGTGTCACTGTGTGTGTCACTGTGTGTGTGTCACTGTGTGTGTCACTGTGTGTGTCACTGTGTGTGTGTCACTGTGTGTGTGTGTGTGTCACTGTGTGTGTGTCACTGTGTGTGTCACTGTGTGTGTCACTGTGTGTGTCACTGTGTGTGTGTGTCACTGTGTGTGTCACTGTGTGTGTGTCACTGTGTGTGTCACTGTGTGTCTCACTGTGTGTGTCACTGTGTGTGTCACTGTGTGTGTCACTGTGTGTGTGTGTCACTGTGTGTGTCACTGTGTGTGTCACTGTGTGTGTGTCACTGTGTGTGTGTCACTGTGTGTGTGTCACTGTGTGTGT